CCGCTCCTCTACCTCCTCAACCACTCCTCTACCTCCTCAACCGCTCTAACCTCTTCAACCGTCCCTCTACCTCCTCAACCGCTCCTCTACCTCCTCAACCGCTCCTCTACCTCCTCAACCACTCTACCTCCTCATCCGCTCCTCTACCTCCTCAACCACTCCTCTACCTCCTCGTCCGCTCCTCTACCTCCTCAACCACTCCTCTACCTCCTCAACCGCTCTAACCTCTTAAACCACTCCTCTACCTCCTCAACCACTCTTCTACCTCCTCAACCGCTCTAACCTCTTAAACCACTCCTCTACCTCCTCAACCACTCTTCTACCTCCTCATCCGCTCCTCTACCTCCTCAACCGCTCCTCTACCTCTTCAACCACTCATCTACCTCCTCAACCGCTCCTCTACCTCTTCAACCACTCTAACCTCCTCACACGCTCTCGTCTCGATTCCCTCGCTCTTCTTGCTCTCGGCTCGCTCGAGACTTCACCCACCACCACGAGGCTCTTTCTCCTCTTCTCCCCACACCACCCCCATCATCATCATCATCATTAAACAATCGTCGCCGTTTTCCCGCCCGAGTCTCTAGACGCGCTCACCAAAATAAAATAAGCGTGGCGTGGCTGACCTCGTTCCCCGAGTGCTAATGAAGCTTCGACAGCCAAGCCTTAGCGGCAACTGTCCCGAGACGCAATCACATTCCGTCACAGGTACGCAGTTGCCGCCTCTAAAAATAACAACAAATATAAACCACGCAGGAGCGTGCACTGACGCAGCCGGACGAAGAAGTCTCAAGCGATCAAACACCCCAAAAAAAATGTCCCTCTACCAGCAGACAAAAAAACACAATGGACTTTACCTCAACAAGCACAATCGCTGCTGTTGCTAATGTTGATAATAATCCTACAGTCGTAGACGGTGACCGTGTGGGGGGGGAGGGGGGTGAAGTCGCTTGTGGCAATGTCACGGAGCGCGTGGTCACGGAGAGGCGTGAGAGGGGGGTGGGGGGGTCCCACGGGGTGGGGGGGGTCCCACGTGACGGTGAGGGGGGGATAAGCGGGGGGGGGGGGTCCTGCGTGACGGTGAGGGGGTCAAGCGGGGGGGGGTCCCACGTGACGGTGGAAGGGCGAGCGGGTTCCGCGTGACTGCTTCGGCAGTCATCGTCGTGTTGGAGCCCCTATTGGCCGCGCATGCGCAATGGGCGCATGCCGTCTGGTTTATTTATTTATTACCCCCCCCCTCCCCCCGTGAATATTTTTTTGGGGGTTGGGGGGGCGACGCGACTAGAAAACCCCTCCATGGCAACCGGCCGTAGCAACGGCGATGCGATTGGCCCCAAGAGCGTCACGTGGTGATGTGAGAGGGGGAAAAAAAGAGTTTGGTGCTCAGTGTTTACAAAGCGTTCCCCCGCCGCCCCCACCTCCTCCTCCTCCTCCTCTCTTCCTATTGGTCCATTCCGTCAATGGAATTTGAAAGACTTTTATACTAAAATGCAATTTTTAGTTCAACGTGCACATCATTTGTGGTTGTGGTTATGTATTTTGTCCGTGGTAATTATGTTTACGCTGTCGTTTGCGCGGTGAAATATTTAACCTTTTTTAAATGTCTTTACTAATTATTTTTTTGGGGGGACAAAATATTGCAATAGTAACAATATATTTGTCGGGAAATTATCGAGTAATTTTTTTTTCACGGTAATTTTCCGGTTTAATTGAGCGAAACTTTGCTGTAACTTGGCATTGTACAAACTTGCAACGGTCCGTAATGTCGGATACTTCTCTTGAAAAGAGAGCTATCCAGCTCATCGCATTCCTGCAGTATCAACATTCTGATATTACGGGAATATTGCAGTTGAAACATTGGTTAAAGTTATTTTGGAAAAAAAAAGAAATCAAATTCTAGACGTAGCTTCTTCGCTGGGTGATTTTGTGGACACTTGTGACAACACATTCAATAGGAACCCCTTCTTAAAACGTGATTTAACAACTCGAGCGAGGGGCATTTGTCGAATAAAAGCTGGAGATAAAAGCATGCGCACGCATGGATTCGTAGAGGTCGTGTAACATTCCGTGTCAACCCACAAGTTGTACCGCGTATTCCGCTACAGGGAAATCCAGTTTCCAGGTTCGTACGGCGTACAGCCGTTTCAATACGGACAACAACAAAAAAGTGTCTATTTGTTTGTGTTTCTCTCTTGTGATGGGACTTTGTAGGATGAACTTTGAGATTTATAAAGGGGCACGGGGTGACCAATAAGGTCTGAGTTGGTCCGTAATAAGGTAGGGGGGGGGTGGCACTGATAAGGGGTTGAAAGGTGTAGCGTGATGATTCCCAACGCGAGTTTTGTCTTCGGAAAGTCGATTTATATAATTAGCAGCAAGGAATGGAAAGTCGACCGTCTGTTTGCTGCTGCTACATGCAAAAGTGTTTGCAGAATTGGGATTATTTTGCCGCGGATAAATGTCCAAAATGATGGGGCCACTTTGTTGAGCTGCTACCAGTTGTGATGGCCAGGTGGCTTTTGAAAAGTAGGTTAATTCCTCGGTGGGCTGGTTTAGTGTTGTGTTTGGGCGATTTTTGTTACCGTTATTTTACTTTGCACTGCTATGGTGTTATTGTAATGTTTGTTGTTGTAACATCATTACCCGCCCCTGCTGGACATCTGTGAAAAAGAGCTTTATAGCTCATAGGGTTCCTCCAGTATGAATACATATTCTGATTCTGAATACTGTCGTTATTTTAGCACCGGTTGTTTAGCTCCATGTTTCGTTCATTACTTTGATCGATTTGGTCGGCTTGCACAGTACGTAGCCAACCGTAGTGTTGAGTCTATGGGTAGTGTTGAGTCTATGGGCAGTGTTGAGTCTATGGGCAGTGTTGAGTCTGTGGGCAGTGTTGAGTCTATGGGTAGTGTTGAGTCTATGGGTGGTGTTGAGTCTATGGGTAGTGTTGAGTCTATGGGTGGTGTTGAGTCTATGAGCAGTGTTGAGTCTATGGGTGGTGTTGAGTCTATGGGCAGTGTTGAGTCTATGGGCGGTGTTGAGTCTATGGGTGGTGTTGAGTCTATGGGCGGTGTTGAGTCTATGGGTAAGTGTTGAGTCTATGGGTGGTGTTGAGTCTATGGGCGGTGTTGAGTCTATGGGTGGTGCTGAGTCTATGGGTAGTGTTGAGTCTATGGGCAGTGTTGAGTGTATGGGTAGTGTTGAGTCTATGGGTGGTGTTAGTCTATGGGTAGTGTTAGTCTATGGGCAGTATGCATCCATAGTAAAGGGTGGTGCAGGGTTAACAACACATTAATACTTACGCGATCTAACCCAAAAAAGCCTACGTGTTAAACTGGGCAGTATTTACGTTGAACTTCTTTCGCATCGTACGTAGCCAACCGTGCTAATCGGGGTGTGCGTGCTTGTAAACGCCTGACGTTGTTTCTAAATGTGGAAGGGAAAAGACGGAAGACCTGGAGAAAAATCCACGCGACCACGGGGAGAGAGAGACACGTAAAGTCACGGCCAGGGTCTGGATCAAGCACACGACCTCCTGTATACCACGAGAGGTAGCTAACATAGATAGGCTAAGTTCCACAAATTAGTAACACAACTTTATACTGCAGGTGTGTTCATATCGTTACAAGAGTTATCACAGTAAACGTGGAACGTTGGGCTCACGTTGGTCCAATGTGACCCCAACGTTTGAAAGAGATACAATCAAATTGGCACCATTAAAATTTACACAATATACAGGGAGCGAGTGAACTTATAATAATAATTCATAATGCATCTCACTTACCCAGGAAGGCCTTGTTGCATACCTTATTAGTGCCCTACCTCATTACAGACCAACTCAGACCGTATCGGTCACCCCGTGGTCCCTTATAAATCTCAACGTTCATCCTACAAAGTCCCATCACAATGGAGAAACACAAACAAACAGACACAAAATATATTTTTTGTGTGCCCGTATTGAAACGGCTGTATGCCGTATGGACCTCAAAACTCAATTCCTCCCGTACAAGATTACGGGGTGAACCCATGTGGGTTGACTGCGATGTCCTTGAGTCTCAAGGACATCAGCTGTCTCAAGGCCCTTTTCTTCGTCCCATTCCATCAGTGAATGTTTGGTGTGGACATGCCGGCTGTAACCGCGCATCTATAATTGTTTCCAACTCATGCGCTCCGCACAGATGGATTCAAGAATACGATTTCTCTACTGCCATCTCCTGATCACCTCGTATCTCCGTTGGTGATCCACCAATCATTGTCTCTGATGTGCTGGATCACAGGCGAGTGCCATCAAATTGGGCCCTGCATCCGCGAATGTCATCATTATCCGTTCAGATTCGGTGTAATGACCGCGTCTTCTGTGCTCGTTTAAAAAAATAAACCGCTCGAGTCACTGTCTCACCATCATCAACCATGAGTGTCACTTCATCGCCGTCATTGGCGTCTCGTGATCGATATTTCTCGTCATCATCATCATTAATGTCACAGCATCATCGGCAGTAACAAGTGGCATTTCATTTCTCGTCATCAGCAGCAGAATTACAATCATAATCACTCATTATAATCATAATGACTCATTATAATCAGTGTCACATTGTCACATCACCACTAGCACTAGTGTCATCATCATCATCAGCAGCACGACTATCATTATCATCATCATCGGTGTTTCAGCATCTGCAACATTTATATTCTTTGGTTCTTTCGGTAAAAGTCACGTTGATCGGTTCAAAGACACAAAGAATATGAATTCCTGCAGTTACGAAAGCTTTAAGTCAAGATCTGCAAGGTTACTGCCATCATCAGTGTAACATCATCGTCTAATTACAACACCATTCGTGGCATCATTATAATTAATGCATCATTGACGGTGTCCAATCATAATAATCGTCACCATCATCATCATCATCAGTTCAAGCACGACCATTGTACCATCAGAATCATCATCGTCACGCCAACCAAATTATCGTCAAGCCTTCGGTCAGAAACAATTCTAAAACACCAACCTTGCACCACAGTTAGGCGACGAACCCGATAACTTTCGATGGAAGGCGAACGCCTTCCTCTCCAATCATCTCGATCTACTTCTCACTTTCGATCCGATTGTTCCTCCTGCTTCCTCTCCCTCCTCCTCCTCTTGCAGCCCAAAGAAGAAGAAGTAGACAAAGCGACGTTCAACAACAACCCGGGGCTGTCGTCTTGCGTGACGAGCCGAGCGCCTCCTCCTCGTGAATATCAACACCGCCACCTCGTGGACTCGACGATGCCATTCCAGTCGGAGTGAGAGGCCAGGCCCATTGCGTCACTGTGGGGAAAAAAAAAGTGACCAAAGGGGCCGTCCATAAATGACGTCACGCACCTGGGGGGGGGGGGGTGGGGGGAGGTCAGACGTTTGTGACGATGTGTGACGAGGAGGGGGGGGGGGGGGTTGAGAAATGTGACGTCACATCAAAATGCGCAACTTTAAATAAATATAGACCAACACGTTCTACTTAATTAAATCGACTTTTTAATAAATGTTTTCTCCTACAACATCAGAGTGCAGCGCCATATTAAATACGCACTACAATGACAATAGTTTAAAGCGATTTGAAGCATGTTTTTGGGGGGGGGGGGGCAGAGCTTTGTGACGTCATATTTGAGGGGGGGTCTGACTTTTTGTGAAGCCATGTGAACGAGGGGGGGGGGTGAAAAATCGTCCAAAATTGCGTGACGTCATTTATTGACGGCCCCTGACAATACACTCAGCTATGGGACTGTGGCGTTGTGAAAGGGACGAGAGTGTGGGGTTATACTGGGGCTGAGGGAGGCCTCGTTGAGCCGTGGATCTCTGTCGCAGAGCGGCGAGCATGAGCCGTGGATCTGTAATGACGACTTGACACACTTCTCTTGAGATGGCACTTGATTGAAGACACGACGTTCACTTGACATCAGGCGGAGACCCCCCCCCCCCACTGCAACAGCCCCGAGTCTCTCACGCTCATCTCCCTTTTATACCGACACGAGGCCACGCCCCCCTTCTCGATCATTCTCGCTGACTCTGGACTCTCACTCCATCGGCAGACTCCACCGTCCTCTTCCGTCGCCTGACCACGCTCCCTTCTCGAACATTCCCGTAGCCACCAGTCCCTTCTCACTCACAGCTGACACCCCTGTCATTACCTCCCGTGGCCACCAGTCCCTTCGCACTCACAACTGACTCCCCTGTCATTACCTCCCGTGGCCACCAGTCCCTTCACACTCACAACTGACTCCCCTGTCATTACCTCCCGTGGCCACCAGTCCCTTCACACTCACAGCTGACACCCCTGTCATTACCTCCCGTAGCCACCAGTCCCTTCTCACTCACAGCTGATACCCCTGTCATTACTTCCCATAGCCACCAGTCCCTTCTCACTCACAGCTGACTCCCCTATCGTTACCTCCCGTGCCAACCAGTCCCTTCGCACGCATAACTGACTCCCCTGTCATTACCTCCCGTGGCCACCAGTCCCTTCTCACTCACAGCTGACTCCCCTGTCATTAACTCCCCTGGGCACCAGTCCCTTCACACTCACAACTGACTCCCCTGTCATTACCTCCCGTGGCCACCAGTCCCTTCTCACTCACAACTGACTCCCATGTCATTACTTCCCGTGGCCACCAGTACCTTCACACTCACAACTGACTCCCCTGTCATTACTTCCCGTAGCCACCAGTCCCTTCTCACTCACAACTGACTCCCCTGTCATTACTTCCCGTAGCCACCAGTCCCTTCGCACTCACAACTGACTCCCCTGTCATTACCTCCCGTAGCCACCAGTCCCTTCACACTCACAACTGACTCCCCTGTCATTACCTCCCGTAGCCACCAGTCCCTTCGCACTCACAACTGACTCACCTGTCATTACCTCCCGTGGCCACCAGTCCCTTCGCACTCACAGCTGACTCCCCTGTTATTACCTCCCGTAGCCACCAGTCCCTTCTCACTCACAGCTGACTCCCCTGTCATTACCTCCCGTGGGCACCAGTCCCTTCACACTCACAACTGACTCCCCTGTCATTACCTCCCGTAGCCACCAGTCCCTTCGCACTCACAACTGACTCACCTGTCATTACCTCCCGTGGCCACCAGTCCCTTCGCACTCACAGCTGACTCCCCTGTTATTACCTCCCGTAGCCACCAGTCCCTTCTCACTCACAGCTGACTCCCCTGTCATTACCTCCCGTGGGCACCAGTCCCTTCACACTCACAACTGACTCCCCTGTCATTACTTCCCGTAGCCACCAGTCCCTTCGCACTCACAACTGACTCCCCTGTCATTACCTCCCTTAGCCACCAGTCCCTTTGCACTCACAACTGACTCCCCTGTCATTACCTCCCGTGGCCACCAGTCCCTTCGCACTCACAGCTGACTCCCCTGTCATTACCTCCCGTGGACACCAGTCCCTTCGCACTCACAGCTGACTCCCCTGTCATTACCTCCCGTGGACACCAGTCCACTCACAGCGCATGTCGGCGCTACTGTCATTACAGATCTATCGCAGAGCACCGCGCAAGCTGCGACGTTTCAGGGCTCTCTGCGCTCTGTGATATCACCGCAGCCTACTCCGACGTCCGCGATATTCACATCTGCGCTCTTCTGCCGTCTGTGGCAGTGCAGCTTGTACTGCGAGTCAGCGACGTCGCTTTGTGGTTTGTGCCGCAGTGACCCTGTCACAAAGGATAGCTCAACGAAGTGGCTGTTCACGTGGAATTGTAGAGCAGCCAACTACTCGAAACGCGTTGATGTTGATCCTGAATGTGGAGGGGAAAAACCGGAGGATACAGAGAAAAAAATCCACGCGACCACGGGGAGGGAGAGTCGTAAACTGCAAATATACAGCAGCAGCATGCGTCAGGGTCAGGATCGAACCCACGACCTCCTGTATACCAGGCGAGGGAGTTAACATCTCATAGCCACCGTGATGATGATGATGAGAGAGAGTCGTAAATTTCAAATATACAGCAGACGTCAGGGTTGGGATAGAACTTACGATCACCTGCATACCAGGCGAGGTAGTTAACATCTCATAGCCACCGTGATGATGACGATGAGAGAGAGAGTTGCAAACTTCAAATATACAGCAGCAGGCGTCAGGGTTGGGATCGAACCCACGACCTCCTGCATACCAGGCGAGGTAGTTAACATCTCCTAGCCACCGTGGCCGCCCTTCACGCATCGCAGAAAATACTCTCAAATCGCACGACCGCTATTCACCCCGCGTGATCATATCCAACAGAATGGCTGCAGGCTCAGCGCAGTCAGAGTGGGCGATCGGCAGGCCACGTGTGTGGCGGGGGTGTAAAGTGTTGGGTACGCGCCGACCCACCTTAGGAGCCGTCCATAAATGACGTCACGCGATTTTGGACGGTTTTTCACTCCCCCCCCCCCCCCCTCGTCACACGGCGTCACAAAAGTCAGACCCACCCCCCTCAAATATGACGTCACAAAGCTCTGCCCCCCCCCCCCCCAAATAAAACATGCTTCAAATCGCTTTAAACGATTGTCATTGTAGTGCGTATTTAATGTGGCGCTGCACTCTGATGTTGTAGGAAAAAAACATTTATTAAAAAGTCTATTTCATTAAGTAGAACGTGTTGTCTATATTTATTTGAAGTTGCGCATTTTGATGTGACGTCACATTTCTCAAACCTCGTCACACATCGTCACAAATGTCTGACCCCTCCCCCCCCCCCTAGGTGCGTGACGTCATTTATGGACGGCCCCTTTCAGTCGAGAACGCCGTCTGTTCACAGGCTTGGGCAGACCAAATCACCACCCTGCCTCCCCTCCACTAGGGGGAGACGTTGTTAGCGAGCCAGCAACAGACGTGGGATGGAGCGGGGTCCCGATCAATCAGCGCAGGATTATAACGTAGTCGTAAAAGTAGCTACATATGCTCCTGGCCCCCACTTTCAAGGGCCCCCCGCTAAAATGATTCTGCACTTGCTCTATTACTATAGCACTATACTGCTCTTCAACTTGTATGAACGACTGGGCGTTTAAGGTTAGCGATATGTCGTTTTATCTGGCTGTATAGCAAATGAAAAAATACAATTACTTTACTATGCAAGTAAAACATTTGTGTTTTAATATTTACGTGTTTTTTTTTAATTAGGGCACCTTTCTAACGTATGCTACAGGGAGACCACCAGAGGTCAGGATTCAGAATCGGTATTTATACTGCAGGAGAAATCCGATGACCTATAAAGCTCTTTTTTTTCCCCACAGACGTCCAGGTAGGGGCACGTGGTCAGAACGTCACAACAACCAACAGTACACAAAACACGATAGGAGTGCACAGTTTAGGAAAGGTTAACAACAACAAACAATTCAAACTAAACCATTAAAATAAATCTTACCAGGCAGCTATTAACTTATTTTTCAGAAGCGACCTGGCTACCACAAATGATAGCTCAAGGAAGGGGCCCCCATCATCACGTGGAAACGTGCAGGTGGTCACGGCTTGGGGTTGCTTTCATTCAGCAGTGGGTGGATCGTGGCTGATGATGATCACCCACTCACTCGCCCGCCCACTGACACACTCACCCACTTACTCACCCACTTATTAACTCACTCAGCGCGCTGCACGTCAACACAACGACGCTCACTCACTCACCCACTGACACACTCACCCACTGACACACTCACCCATTTACTAACTCACTCAGCACACTGCACGTTACTACAACAACTCTCACCCACCGACACACTCGCTCACCCATCCATTAACTCATTCACCATAACTGCACGTCACTGCTATACTCACTCGCCCACTCACCCACTGACACACTCACCTACTGAAACACTCACCCACTAACTCACTCACCACACTGCACGTCACTACAACAACTCTCACCCACTCCATCACCCACCGACACACTGACCCACTAACTCACCACACTGCCCGTCACTGCAAAACTCACTCACTCACCCTCTCACCCACTCACTCACCACACTACAGCCCGTGCCACTTGCCTTTCCGCAACTCCCTCCCATCATCGTCTCTTGCACCAAGTGCTCACAAGAACCTTGCTCGATTCAAGAAGGGCGTCACACACAACTCCTTGTCTGTTACGTGCAACCTCAAACAGTGCCGCTTGTTACCGGCCCGTGGGTATTTCGGGCCTGCGATCAACACTTTCTTCTAAATGGCAACGCTGGGGCCCTCTTGACGACGAGTCTCGAGACTCATCAAGATCTTCCTGAACCACGGTGGCTATGAGATGTTAACTCCCTC